TGTATCTGTTCCGAACGATACCGTGCTAATTGTATCCGCAACCGGGGCAATATATCAATGTACATCCTCGTTAAAATGTGGCTTCTAGGTATAAACAGACATAAAGAAGTTAGACAAGATGTTCGCCTTATCTGAAGTAAGCACCCTGGGTGCTGCCAAGAGACCAGTACTCTTAATCGGGAAGGATAATTTAACCTAACTGTCGACGAAGTCAAGTTAACGTAGAGACAAATATCAAGAGTTAACTAACCTTTGTTCGAATAAAAAGCAAACGTATAAGGGTTTTTGTATAACTTGACAAGATAGTGAAACAGTAAAGTTCCGCTTTCAAATTATAAGTGTCCAGTTCAGATACCCATTAATAACAAAAAAATGTGGCAAGCATACGCTTACTTTAGGCCTGCACATTATAACTTAGACCGTATACGACTTAGAGCGTCTCCGTCCCGTTGGCACGCACTACCATAGGCTAGACTGCCTGACACTGATCATATTGTCGATTCCATATAGTGGGAAGCGATTCTCTGACATCATAGCGGGAATTGCAGTCACTGATATTACGAATAATCTTTAATCAATCATTTAGATCAGTGTCTATTACTTTTGATGAAAGTCTATGAGTATCGACACAGTCGATAAGATCTCGGCGCCCGTGTTGAAATACCACCTGCCGTCCACATCCTACATGATGCCCTAAGGACATTTTACAACCCCCATGCAAAATAATAGTGGTATAGAATGCTTATAAAACGATTATCCTCAGACAAATTTGAAGCGGCTTATGTTATTTAGCAATTTTCATTAAATAAAATAAATAAATTTATATTTTATACCCGGAGGGCCTCGTCATTGCAAACTAAGTGCTGTGGAAAAATAAATACAAAGTTGATAAAGGCTGCTTTCTGTGAAACAACCACATAGGCAGCGGGTGCGTTTAGTAGTGTTGGTAGATTCCTAGTCATTGCAAACTTAGTGCTGTGGAAAAATAAATACAAAGTTGATAAATGCTTTCTTCATGAGCAATCACATAGGTAGATAAATTTATATCCACCAAAATATCGTCATTTTAAAATAATAGTCAACACTCGCTGAAATGGGAAAACTTCCAACTACTAATATCCCTGCTACTTGCTACATCAATAAGTCTAAACTCAACTTACTGGCCTCGACTGGAATGAACACTTTTTATGTAATATGCCGGTCCGCCATATTTGCAGTCAAATGCCAATTCCTCGTGGCATACTTGTTGTACTTGAGAATCCGTCAAAAGACTTGTGTAGCAGTTT